TCGTATTTTAGTAGTCGATTGGATTTGTAATGATTTAGCATACTATGTGAAACAGCTCAACTGAAGAAACATCTACAACAACAATCACGTCCTTCTCCGCTGCCGTCACCGTCACCGTCACCATCGCCGGGTGTCATCCTCGTCGGCACCGGCAATGGCTAGTCCATCTACTACTGCGACCTCCTTCTCTTCGCGTGTTCGCCGCCGCCACCAAAGGAGTCATTTGCACGCCGTTACAAGTTCCTTTGGCCTCTTCTCCTCGCCGTCAATTTTTCCATCGGAGGTATCTATATAGAAGTATAGATATATATCGCTTACGTAACAATTTTAGGTTGCTAGGATCATTCACAAATGCTGTTTTATAACCGTGTTCTGCTTAAATGAAAAAAAGACAAACCTAGGTTTTATCGTTTTGAATCTGTGTCACCATAACTCTCTGACAATGAATTAGGTTTGATTAATGCCTTCTGAAATTTGTTTTGTTTGGCTAGATCTGATCTCTGTAGCTTTAAGCGTTAGTTAAGAAGTTCGGTTATAACCATATTCTTATTTGAAGTAGTAGTCACAGTTCTTTCAATCATCATTTCATTGTGAAAAATTGCAGATTGTATATAGTATCAACTCTCAGCATCTGAGCTTGTATGCCTAAAACTGCAGGATTTTAGGATTTGAATGAGATTTGGATTTAGTTTGTTTGCTAAAGACCAAGGAAATAAGTGCTTCCCAATTGGATTCAGCTAACATTTAAAAGTACAAACATGTTCAACAAACAAAAAATCAACTTTATTTTCTGTAAGAACTAAGAAGTATATACACCTTCATAATATACTAGGTTAAATTCACCCTGGTTGATTAAAAGAAATCTTAAATAGAAAGGAGTAAACATTATGGATTTCAAAAACGATATTTTCCAATAGGATCCAACTGAAATGAGGAAGTAGGTACTTTTAGTAATAAAGAAATATTGTTCAAAATAACAAAAAGAAGGCATAAACATAAATTTCCAAAGACACTTTTGGAAAAGATAAACATATATTTTAAACTTAGAAGATAATTCTGGATATTTAAAATCATCAGATCAACATGGATATTTTGAAATTTGTATAACTATTCAAGATAATATTGGAAAAGATATTTAGAAATGAGAGGTGCTTCAGCTTCCCTAAGAAACTAATATAACGAAATCAAACACTATTACCTGTATATCATTCATCATTTTTCAATTCAATCGTCTGTTTTATCTTAATTTCTGTAGCTTACCTTTTCATGAGAACAAAGAAGAAGGAGATCATAGAGGAAGAGGTGACAGCTGTCACTTCTACTCCCACATCTTTGGTTTCAACTGCTTCAGTCAGCGATCCATCGCCAGCTGTCATGGAACTAGTGAAACCACGTGAACCTATACCATTAAATCAGCAGCTTGAGCTTTTCAAATGGATTTTGGAGGAGAAAAGAAAAGTGAAAACAAAAGATCCGGAGGAGAAAAAGAGAATCGATGAAGAAAAAGCCATTCTTAAACAATTCATCCGAGCAAAATCTGTCCCATCTCTGTAACCGCAGGTTTGTTCTTGTTCATTAACAAGCTGTACATTTAGCTTTTATTTTTTGGATCATATTTGCTCCTACTGAATATCGGTTAGTGTTTGCTAAACATGGTTACAAAAAGACTATATTATTTCAATAATAATATCTTTTTTAATACAAGGGTTTAGATAAATGAGGCGAAATTGCTACCACTAGTACCTATGTATCAATGTTTGTAATGACCTTTTTCTTATGAGATACAAATGTTGAAAGGGACCTTAGGAGTTCATGATTTTAACCATAAACACGCGAATCAGTGTATTTTTGATTTGGAAATAGGCCATTTGCGTATGCTTATACATGTAATAGGGGCATATCAGTCACACACATGAATATTGCTGTGGATCAGATCAGTTGACGTTTAAGATGTTATAATGATGATTTGGTCTAGAGATGGGGATTACGATTGATTTGTTCTTTAAATGAGTTGGTCTCATCACTCATGGTGTATTTCATATGGGCCAAATCAAAAGGATTTAGCTTGCAATTGTGGTGCGAATTATAGATGTACGATTGATTTGATATTTTTTGTTTTGGTTTCTTGTTTTCCATTAACAAATGTGTGATTAACACAAAATGTTACATTAAGATTTACCACAAACTGATACACTGAAGTTTAATAAAAGAAAGAAGGGAAAAAATTGGGTAATGTGATTATAAAATGTGTAATTAACACAAAAAGGATATGTATATAAACTTTGGTCTTCCGGACTTTTTTGAGATCTGTTCCGGATCGGTTACTGCTCTGCTCTCAGGATTCTTTTTTTCGGACCAGTTTTAGCCCGATTTTTTGAACCTTCGTCTTCTTTACGACTGGTTTCGTTTAAACCGGTTTGATCTCTTGTCTTTTATTGAGACCGGTCCTCGATCAATCTTTTTGTTCAGTTTAAAATTTAAATCTAAATGAGCATCATTTAAAAGTTTTTCTATGCGGCTAGAGTAGACTGGTTCAATGAAATTATACTTGTTAATTTGTTATACATGTATGCAAGAGTGGGCCGAGCCCATTATTTAATGTGTAATACACATGACAAAATTGGGACGAAACCGAACTTTGAATTCGTGTTGTGTTCGTATCAAGTGTAAAATACACGATAACGTGTTATGTCGTGTTCGTGTTCAAAATTCGATATAAAATTGACACAATTTAACATTTATTCGTCGTGTTTTTGTGTTTGTTATGTTTTTTATGTTGCGTATGATTAAATATTAGTTAAATAAATTAATTGTTATTTTATGTTATCCTTGTCGTGTCGTTTCGTGTTTGTCATTTTTTAGTTGGTTTATTTTCGTGTTAATTAGAAAAATATAACATGTCATGTACGGGTTATATAAAACATTGTCATGTCGTGTTAGACAAAAACACAATCCGATTGACCGATTTGCCACGCTTATCGTTGATGTGGTCTTATATATATATATATATATATATATATATATATATATATATATATATATATATATATATATATATATATATACACACAGAGAGAGAGAGAGAAAATAGTTGAGAATGAGAAAATTATTTTCAGTCAATCATTTAATCTAAGCATAAAAAAGACACAGTGGCAAACTTATAAATATGATAATAACTTTCAATCTCAAATATATAATTGTAAAGAATTAGATAACAATTCAAGCCTATTCCTAATCGATTGTTCATCATCCAAATTTTTCTCCAACCTTCAACAATCATCAACATTTCTTCAATTAAACCCTCTCCAACCTTCGTCAATAACATGTTTATCAACACCATTCAACAGTTGACAAAAAAAAAATTTGTTTTTGGTTTTTTCAATCCAACCTTCAATTCTGATTGAATACGATCAGATCTTCAACATTTACGATTAATTATACTCCTAGTGTCATTAGATCAAAATCATCGATAATCAACAAAACATTCATTTCATATCATTCATTCAACATCGATCTGAAACACCCATAAAATTCCAGTCAATTGAAAACTTTTTAATTGTTACAATTTGTTTTCGAAATAGATTATACATCAGAGTTCCCAGAAATCATAATCGTCAATCGAGGAAGTGTACGGTCACGCATTCGCCTACCCGCGGCAATCCGCTGAACCTGAAACAATAAACTGAAACTGTAAGCCCGAAAGCTTAGTGAGTTACCCCCTAAATACCAACATCATATAACCACAATCATAATTATACCATATCAACAAATACAGAACAACATGCATAATGTGCCTTCAGCCTGACTGGACTGCTCCCGAGCCTTCGGCATGGCTGGACCGCCTTGCAGGGCCTACAACGTATCCAGACCGCTCACCGGGTATGTTGGCCTACAACACAAAGCAGGACCGCCTCAACCCAACCCCCAACCAAACAAACATGTGCACATAAGTATCATACTCTAGCTCATATTATATAACAGTCAAACCGATCTAACAGATCACTAATCATAGCAACATCCCAATAACCGGGGTACAGACCTAACCGGTCACTAACATAGCATCATCCTATAACCAGGACAATCATGTGCACATAAATATCATTTAACATTAGCATGTATATATATAACAATCAAACCGATCTAACAGATCACAAAGCATAGCAACAATCCTAACCAAGATACCGACCTAACCGATCACTAACATAGCATCATCCTATATACCAGGATACCGACCTAAACCATGTCACTAACATAATACCGTCATAATTTACCAAGACGCCGATCTAACAGATCAATAAGCATATCAAACAAATACAAGTATACAATCCGAGAAAAGGGCCGACCTTGGTGCCTTAGACCCTGTTGATATAGTGAGGATAACTCACCTTGCAAGGCCGGACTAAACCACGAAATCACGCTCCGGAATTACTGCCCCAAATTCCAACACCTATAATCATCAACGATCCAACCAAAAATACCCGCTTACCAATTATCCTCAAAAGTCAAAACGGTCAATCCTTGGTCAAAGTCAAAGTCAACAGCCGAGGTCAACAGTCCATGTTGACCTGACTCGCCGAGTGCACTATACTGACTCGTCGAGTTCTTTCAAAACTCACAGAGTCATGAAACCCTCGCTGACTTGCCGAGTTTTCCAGACAACTCATCGAGTTCAAACGTGTCCACAAGTCTGGGAAACCCCAGAAGATCGTCGAGTCATCTCCCTGACTCGCCGAGTTGAATTGCAACTCAAAACTCGTAACCCTAACGTGACTCACCGAGTCAGGCGGCCCACCTCTCCGAGTTTCTTCGCCCTAATCCATAATCCAACGATTCTGAGCTAACCAATTGATCCAAATTGTAGATCCAACCTTCTAGGGCATGCTTCTCACGTAAAGGTGCAAGCTTTACGTGTATGCAAGGTGATTTGGCTCAATACAAGCTAGGGAGAAGGTTCATGGCAAGAATTCTCACAAATAAGCTAAAGGGCTGATACTTTATGATTTCATGGACCAAGACAAGTCTAGATCTGAAGCTGCAACATCAGATTTAGACCCAAAACTCGAAATGGATTCTAAACATGCTAAGTGGCCCCAAATCTCATCCATGAATAGATCTAGATGTAACAAGGTCAATAAATCATTTACTTAATCAGTAAATTAGTTAACTAATCACCACAAGCATATTTAAACTCTTGAATAAAAACAAGTAGTAATAAGATGTTAAAACATAAAACATTCTCATAAAGATTCAAAAACTAGTTCATAGAATCTTCAACATTCAACAAAAGTCAAAATATTTCACCAAAGTCAACCAAGTTTTGACTAGCCAAGCATGGCTAAACTCAAGAAAACAAGATAAGAAAAGATTGTACCAAACATTAGACAAGATTTAGAGATCAAAAGATGATGTTCTTTAAGGTTCTTGGCCTTCAAAGTCTTCAAAATCTCCAGAGAAAAGGCTCCAAAGTCGGATGTGCGAATGTTCCAAAAGAAACCCACCAAACTTCCTCAAATAGAAGCCAAAAGTAAAATCACGAATTTTCCCCTGCAGGAACTTACGCGGGCCGCGTGGAAATCTTATGCGGGCCACGTGAGCTGATGGAGAATGGACATTTTTTATTTGTTGGGTCTGCACTGCTTAGTCCATTAGCCTAGTTTGAGTCCGATCAGCTTCTAGCCCATTTTTTTCAAGTTCTCTTCAATTTGTGCCCAATTTCACTTTTCCAAATCCTCCAAAGCTCTCGTATACGCCCGATCATCAATCTCTGCACGCTCGAAAATTCTCCCGCATCTTGCAAATTTAAAGTTTAATTCTTCCAAGCCTTCAAGTGATTGATAATCCGATTCCATGCATCATCTCCATAGTTAACAAGCCCAAAATTCTTGGACGAATTTTAAACCCAACGGCTTCCTAAAGATCCCGCTCTGCTACTCTCCGTAAAACCTGCAATTATGCTCACGAAATATAAAAGTACCCGAAAGTGGTCATAAAATAACAAAAAGGAAAATATGCATGGTAAACTAAATATGAATGAAATATGCTAAAATAACCTATAAAAAGAAGTAAATAAAATAAAACTATCAAATCACCCCAAGCTTAAACCTTACCTGTCTTCAAGTAAGACAAGAATGAACTATCCTAAGAAAAATAAAAAGAATGGATAGAACAGCGGAACCTGATCATCGTTAGTCAACATGGTTAGAATTGATCTTGATATTATCTCATGACCTTTTCATCTGATGACAATGGAACCATAAACCACAACCATAACAACTTATCTAGGTGACTAAGAAGGGATGGTCAGTCACAGCCCCAATAGAACATGCATACAATGAAGAACATATGTAGTAGGGAGAAAGCAGTTGGACGGGCTCGTGTAGAGATCTTCTTTAAATGT